ACGCTGCGGCGAAGGCAGGAGGTGTCTCCTTCAACAGTATGCTTCTAAAAGGTCCCGATCTCCTAACACCGTTGTTGACAGTCCTATTCGGGTTCCGTGAGCGAAAGGTTGCGGTTTGTGGCGACTTGAAGCAAATGTTTCACCAATTTCGCATTTTGCTTGGTAATATCCACTCACAGAGGTCCCTGTTCCGGAAGGATCCCTTGCATCTAATCCAAGTGTACATAATGCATGTAGGGACTTTTGGATCTACCTGTTCACCGAGCCAGGCCCAGTTCATTAAAAACTTGAATGCCGAGGAACACACGGAAACCTTCCCCAGAGCGGCCGCAGCAATAGTATCCAAACACTACGTTGATGACTATTTGGACAGTTTCGACAGTGAGAACGAAGCCATCGAAGTGGCTTTAGAGGTAAAGCAGGTGCACGCTAACGGAGGATTCACCATAAGGAACTGGCTTTCTAATTCTGCGGAAGTTCTTCGACGAGTCGGGGATCCGGGATCTCAAGATACAAAGTCTATCGAAACCAGCAAGGAGAGAGCAATTGAGCGAGTTCTGGGAATGTGCTGGGTCCCAATCGATGACCAGTTCACGTACGAGGTGGACCTTAACGTAAACGAAGTGACGCCGACAAAACGCAACTTGCTACGGTGCGTCATGAGCGGTTTTGACCCACTGGGACTGCTGTCACATTTTCTAGTCCACGGACGGATCATTATACAAGATATTTGGAGATCACAGGCAGGCTGGGATGAAGAGGTTTCGGGAGAAATCCAGGCAAAATGGCATCGATCGATTGCTGAGTTTGGAGAACTAGCAAAGATACGTATCAGCCGCTCGTATCTTCCTGGTTTCGCATCGATCGAGGTTGGTCCGCTATAGCTTCATATATTCACGGATGCGAGTGAGGATGCATACGCCTGCGTAGCATATCTACGGGCAGAGATTAAGGGAAGAGTTCACTGCGCCCTCGTGATGGCAAAAGCGAAGGTGGCGCCGCTCAAGGCTTTGTCCATTCCACGCCTCGAACTTCAAGGTGCTCTCTTGGGTGCCAGGATGGCGAGGACCATTACCGAAGCTCATTCACTACCAATTGTTCGCCGGGTACTGTGGACCGATTCGGAAACTGTGCTCGCCTGGATAAGATCCGACCATAGACGTTATCGGCAGTTCGTCGCTTGCCGAGTGGGGGAGATTTTGGACAAAACGGACGGTGAAGACTGGCGCTGGATCCCCTCGAAACAAAACGTGGCCGATGAAGCGACTAAGTGGGGAAAGGGTCCCTGCCTCAGCTCCGAAGCCAGATGGGTCCAAGGTCCCGAGTGTCTACGTCATCCGGAAGCAGAGTGGCCGAAGAAGAATGCAGCAGAACCGTCGAAAACCACTGAAGAGTTACGTGCTTGCTTTGTTCATCGAGAGGTTGTGATGCAACAGTTGGTGGATTTCAGTCGCTTCTCCAAGTGGGAACGTCTATTAAGAACCGTGGCATACGTCATTCGAGTCCTGGACAATGCCCGTCGCCGTAGATTGGGGCAACCCAAGAAAACTGGAAGCTTGTGGCAAGACGAAATCCAGCGGTCAGAAGCAGCTCTTTGGCCTCTAGTACAAGCCGAAGCCTACCCAGATGAAGTAGCCGTACTTCTCAGCAAGAACTCGGCTACCAAAAATATTGATAAATCAAGCAAGATCTACAAGCTGTCACCGTTTACCGACGAGAGAAAGGTCCTGCGCGTCGACAGCCGAATGGGAGCGGCATCGGGTGTGTCGTATGATTTCAAGTTTCCCATCATTCTCCCACGTTACCACCGGATTAGCGAACTCCTAGTTGACTGGTATCACCGGAAGTTTCTGCACGCTAACAATGAGACAATCGTTAACGAGATCCGGCAGCGTTTCCAGATACCGAACCTCCACACGGTGGTACGCCAGGTCTCTAGGAATTGCCAGACCTGTAAGGTCCGGAAGGCGTCGCCCGTAACACCGCTTGAACCAGTGTGGTCGACCGTTTACCTACGTAGGCATCGATTACTTTGGGCCAATATCGGTCAAGAGCGGTCGCAGCAATGTGAAAAGATGGGTGGCCTTGTTCACTTGCCTTTCCGTCAGAGCCATCCACCTAGAGATCGTACATTCTCTCACAACCGAATCCTGCAAAATGGCCATCCGTCGCTTCGTAGCCTATCGAGGTACGCCCAGTGAGATCTATACAGACAATGGGACGAACTTCCAGGGTGCTAGTCGCGAGCTGCTGCAGGAAATCCAAGCCATCAACAACGGTCTAGCTGACACTTTCACCGACGTCTTCAACCCGCCCTCCGCTCCACACTTTGGGGGAGTGTGGGAGCGACTTGTACGTTCCGTTAAGGTTGCTCTTGCGTCGCTGTCAAGCTTGGGGAACCCGGACGACGAAACCTTACGCACGATTATTGCTGAAGTCAGTGCCATTATTAACTCACGGCCACTGACGTTTATTCCTCTAGAATCAGCGGAACAAGAGGCTCTGGCGCCGAACCACTTTATTCACCTGAGTTCTGATGGGGTTGTCCGAGCAAAGAAACCACTGGTGGAATTCCAAGGAGTTTGCCGTACCAACTGGGATATGGCAAGACAAATGGTTGACCAGTTCTGGAAGAGGTGGACACAAGAATACTTGCCAAGCATCTCGAGGCGGACAAAATGGTTTGAAGAGGCGAAGGCTCCAGAAGTGGGAGATCTAGTAGTCGTGGTGGATAAAAACGTACGTAACGGGTGGACCCGAGGTCGCATCATCTCGGTGGTAACAGGACGTGATGGCCGCGTGCGACAAGCCGTCGTACAGACAACCAATGGAGTTCTTCACCGTCCTGTGTGCAAGATTGCTGTGCTGGATGTGCAACCAAAGAGTAAAGCTGAGCCGGAAGCGGATCTGCAGCTTTACGAGTCGGGAAATGTTGCGGGCACTGGCAGCACTGCCACATCTACTCCTCGGTCGCAGTTGGTTCCCTCGGCATTGGAAGATCTCGCCTCTGCCTGACAGCTTACGTCAACACGTTGGCAGCCAACTTGGGAGCAAACGTCAGAACAAGGTCCCGTTTCCAAATAAAACGTATAATACTTTCAGGTAAATTAAACCACATTTATTGAATTTGTTTTTTGTTGGATAATACCAATAATACTTTGGATACTTTAACGTAAGTAACTACAATACTAATTAAAAAAATGAATTTCTATAAATATGCTTTGCAGCTTAAAAAAAGCTAAACAACGTCTTTTTCTGAGGAGGATCCGAACGAAACTCAACGATCCAACACAATGATTTCCGTGAAACCCAGAATCCAGCCACTCTCGTAATGGAGGATAATCAAGGGTGTTTGGCATTCGTGCGTTCCGAGAAAAAAGGAAGAGGCAGCAAGCACATAGACACAAGGGAGCGCTTTGTTCAGGAGTTGTGTGTGAAACAGCAAATACGACTGGAGTATTGTCCGACTGATCGAATGGTTGCAGATATCATGACCAAGCCGCTTGGACCACAGAAGCACCGGCAGTTTTCTAAACTGCTCGGACTAAAGAAGAACTGAAGAGATCCATTGAGGGGGACTGTTGAACGGGACATTGCATACCTACACATCGTTGATTCCCGTCCTTACCTCATGGAGTTCACCTACCATACGCGTAACCTTGGTTCGGTACGCGCTTCTTGTTGACAGCTGCTAGTGAAATTCATCTCCAACAGCGTGTATTATTTTGATCGCTTAATAAAGTTAGCTCGTTTTTCCTAGTTTTTTCGCGTGTGCGTTATTTTTCTCCGTAATTCTGAATTCCCGTGTGGCATTCTACTGTGTAGAACCTGGACTGCCGTCAGATAATCTGACCATTTTTAATTTTAACACGGAACGCAAAATCAAAACAGAGCAGCAAATAAGGCTACCAGAACCTCGATGTTCTGATGGTCATTGGGTTACTAGAAGTTCAAATTAAAAATGAACCCCGGTAATATGCACGAAGTGCCGTTCATATTAACCGAGGTTTACGGTATCTACAGGGGACGGCAGGGAAAATGTTCCTAGTAACTACACAGGTCTAAGTAGTTCCAAATTTACGGTCTATTTCCTTTGTATCTAAGATGTTCTACACCCAACTTGGAAAAGTAAGATTCTATTACAGATTTGCATAAAAGTATACAGAATGTCTAATAAAGAAAAGTTAGAAGATATTGAGAGGCAAAGCACAGTTGTGTTTGTTTGTTCATCGTCTACTGATACTGGAAAGCTAGAGCTAGAGACAAGTGTGTATACTATAGAGAATTTGCGATTTAAATGCGGTAGTGGGAAATGGATTTGAATACTACGTGATAGTTAAACAAATAATTTGTTATTATTATGTTTGCTAGATTTTCGAATGAAGTTTCTCCAAATGCATACGATAATATATATTCTGGAGAAATTTGCTTGTGCGCTACAGTCCATTGTAAGAACTGCCATTACATTTGTGGTTATGAAAACATGCATAGCAGAGGATGTAAAAAATCCACATTTTCATATGATGTTCCTGCCATTTGTTTTGCATGCAGCCTTTGTCAATCTTTACAAGTTTTAACAAAGGCTCATGGTTTTTAATAACTTGACAACCAAAAGACACTTCAGAGGTTTTAAGTTCTAAGCCAACAGCATGCATCAATTCCCCTCTAGCATTTATCCTGCCTATTAGTATTCAGTTTGTATCAGCACATGTGATTAAGACAGTTCATTTCATCCATTGAGGACATCTATTATCCATCAGCACTTGTTGATTACATTGTCCGAAACAACAGAAGGTCTCAATTCCGCAGTGAAAACAGCTTCCCCGTGAGCACGTTCGCCGTAATCATATGCATAATGCATTCACAGTATCTAATCAAAAATTGATCGCAACTCAATTGCTGTAATTCTTGCAGTTAAGTTTCTCCGGAATACGGCTCAGGCACGTTACGCAACACATCACATCTTCGTCGTTCACTTCGAATCACAAAATTTCACGCACCTTCACTATGATTGCATCCAGGATGTCGCCCCAAAACAGGGCGAAAATTGCCCCCACCACAGCAAGGCTCGCCCCGACCGTGGCGGCACAGCAAAACCTATCGATCCGCATCGTTCAGTTTCCTTTTTCCCGCCCGCATACAAACACACACGCACACACTTTCGAATTCGATTTACCGCGGAAAACGCGCACTGTACGATCCAATCACGTCCGAGTTCGATGCGAGAATGAACGACGAACTTCTCCGCCGCCGCCGTCGTCGTCGTCTGTCACTCGTCAGATTTGTTTACAACGCAAACGGCTGCTGATGCCTGCCTCCGAGTTGTTTCAAGATCAAGGTCTCCAGCTTCTACAGCAACTGTAATTTTTACGTGTGAAAAGTGTGTTGTTTTTCTCGTATCCGGTGAGGTGATAAAACTGTAGGAATTATTAAATGAAGAGAAGCAACGAGTGAGTGTTGGCCGGTAGGGCGGTCAATATTTTCACTAGCGTTGAAAACATCGTTAGCATGTTAGCCGGTGCCCTTCCGCACAATAACGGCATGACCCTCAATGTTCTTTGGAGAATTATAAACCGATTGCACCCTTCGAGTGCAAACTAATAATTTACTCACTGTTTACAGCACTCGCTCGCTCGCAGCCCACCAACAACGGTTTTTTGAGCGCGGAAAGATTCAATAGTCGGACCCCTGCCGGCCATCCATTCGATGCCAATTACGATTGCCAGGTGAGCTGGTACGCCAAGCTGAGTTCTCTAAGCTACTAAATATCTAGCACAAGGATTACCGGCACGAGCTGCTACTATCTGCTACCATTCACACTAAAACTGATCCACTGTCGTCGCCGTTCGGAACTCCTTTCCAGCAACAAGATTGACAGCTACTTAGTTCCGACAAATGAAGACGAAACTCAAGCTACTGGGTCGTGAAATATGGGAGTTGGAGGTTCTAACCGGATAATTCAGAACCAAGACGTTGCAACAACACTCCGTCAAGGTCAACCGGTTGGCGGCGGTGTGCACATTACATCTATATAGACAAGGTACGTGCGTGTTGCTACAAAGTTTTCTATCATTTACAACACTTGGGTAATTGTGATTATACCCACTGACCGCGGGAGATGAAGGTCCCCGTTGCAGCAGCAGCAGCAGGGGGAAAGCAGACAGCAGACAGGCTCCTCATCGGATATTACAGAATCTGTGAAGATCTCGCTGAACTACGCGCCCAGTCACATCGCGATTGATTACGGTGCGAGAAGCGATGCGCTAAATTTGATCTTCTTATTCATTATGGATTATGTTGATGCTAGTGGCACTCATGCCTGCTCTCTACTTATGATCACTGTTGGTTGTAAGTCGATTACTTTTTAGATCAGGATAAGCTCTACACAATTTTTGAAGCAAAAATGGATTCGACCCCGCTTTCTTCAGCATGATGACCGATCGCTTTACGCTTGCGACTGCCGAGGAGGAGCCCCGATCGTTGATAATATCGGTAGCAATATGCATAAACTTGACGACCGAGCGAGCTGATGATTGAGGTGCGTTTTATTAGCAGGTAGCAAGCAACATCGTTAAGATTTTTACATGACAATGGAATGATTGTGGTTTTACATGGGCAGCTATTATATAATTGGCGGTTGCGATTGATGGCTGAGAAAGTAGTGATAGTGGTGGAATTCTAAGGTGGCATGTTGTCGACATTAAGATTGTATGCCTAGAGACATATGTGCCTATCTTGAGAGTAGGTTGTCCTGAAACTGAAAGCTTCTAAGATCATTTGAAATATTAGAAATACCTATATAACAATTAATCCCCCTCAACAAATCCTCCTGATTCCCCCCTCGACTAATTCCATGTTCCACGGTTAGATCGACCGACATTGAAACCGACTGATTTATAGGTTGTTGTATCGACTCGTATGAGATTCCGCAAGGTGCAATTTACTTGGGAGTATATTATAAAAATGAAATCCAAAGCGCCTGCAGTAGGGCGCTTCATTGAAATAAAAAAAGTGATGCATTTCTGATAGGCGACCCTCCAGTTCGATTCATAGCCCCAAAATATGAGCTACTTACTTACTTAACGATCCTGCGCACCTCCAGGGGTGCAAAGGGCCTTTGTGAAAGATTTCCATCCTGGGCGCTTAAGGCTTGTACTCGAAAAAATGCACCACCGTGTGTAACTTTTTTTATCCGTGGGTAAAATTTGGTGAAAATCTGGGTATAACTACAGTCAGGAATCCTTATTGCCGGGGTAACGGGGGCGTGAATAAGGAACCGCGAATAAGCATACCCACAGCTTATGGGATTTTCACTAATGGGGGCTGTAGTGGATTATCTCATTTGTTTCAATACATAAAGCTATACTGTCTTGGACAAAGTTGCTGTACTGGGTTAGACCAACAAGCCTGTGCCATTGGATTCGGGTTAAATTGAGAACTACGCCGCTAGAGGCGCTTCACTTTTATGTTACTTATGATGGGCGCTATAATATATGGATCATATTTCCAACATAGAATATTTCGTGATCCTGGCCATATAGAAAGTTGCTGTTTTCAGCAAAGTTGTGCAGGTGATCAAGTCCTTTTCGATGGTGGCCATATTAGTTCAGAACTCTCTCACTACGCAGCGCTAGTGTGCATGTGCAATTCCTATATAAACTGTATCTCGAGAGCCTGGTCATATAGAAAGTTGCTGTTTTCAGCAAAGTTTTGCAGGTGAGCAAGTCCTTTCGGATGATGTTCATATTAGTTCAGAACACGCTCACTACGCGGCGCTAGTGTGCAAGTGAATTTCCTGTATAAGCTGTATCTCGAGAACCTGGCCATATAGAAGGTTACTGTCTTGAGAAAAATTGTTCAGGTCACTAAGTCCTTTCGGATGATGATCATATTATTTCAGAACCCTCACACTACGCGGCGCTAGTGTGCACATGAACTTCCATATTATGTTATGACTCCAAAGCTTGTCCATATAAGATGTTGCTGTGCAATGTGAGATCAGGAACCGGAAAAAGGATGACGTGTAGAGGCCGGAAATCGATGTCAGATGCCATTTTGGAATCCAAGATGGCGGCCATCGGTTCAAGAAAAACTGTCAAATACCCTACAATATGGGTATTTTCGGATAGGGAATGACGTGTAGAGGCCGGAAATCGATGTCAAACGCCATTTTGGAATCCAAGATGGTTGCCATCACTTCAAGAAAAACTGTCAAATACCCTACAACATGGGTATTTTCGGATAGGAGAGACCGGAAATCGATTTCAGATGCCATTTTGGAATCCAAGATGGTGGCCATCGGGTCAAGAAAAATTGTCAAATACTCTACAATATGAGTATTTCCGTGTAGAGGCCGAAAATCGATGCCAGATGCCATTTTGAAATTCAAGATGACGGCCATTGGTTCAATAAAAACTGTCAAATACCTAACATACCCACATTTTAAAAACCAAGATGGCGGCCATCGGTTTTAAGAAAAACAGTCAAATATCCTGTTGCCGCCATATTGGATTCCAAAATAGCGTCTGGAATCTATATCTGGCCTCTACACGTCGTCCATTTTCGGAAATTCCCACATTGTAGTGTATTTGACAGTTTTTCTTAAACTGATGGCCACCATCTTGGATTCCAAAATGGCATCTTGCATCGATTTCCGGCCTCTACACGTTGTTTCCTTTCCGGAAATACTCATATTGTAGAGTATTTGACAGTTTTTCTTGACCCGATGGCCACCATCTTGGATCCCAAAATGTCGTCTGGCATCTATTTCCGGCCTCTACACGTCGTCTCCTTCCAAAAATATCCATATTGTAGGGTATTTGACAGTTTTTCTTGAACCTTTTGTCTGCCATCTTGGATTACAAAATGGCATCTGACATCGATTTCCGGTCTCTACACGTCATCTCCTATCCGAAAATACCCATGTAGTTGGGTATTTGACAGTTTTTCTTGAAACGATGGCAACCATCTTGGATTCCAAAATGGCGTCTGACGACCGAGCGGCGGGCTGGAAGTGGAAGAAAATCGAAGATAGCTGACCCTGTGAAAGCCCGGAAGGTGTTGGATTATTTCAAGCGTAATCCGAACCTTTCGATTCACGACGCGGCTCTGAAGGTAAAGTGTTCCGCCTGGTTCGTTCAGCAAACCATGAAACGAGCTGAGCATCGTGTATTCAAGGTCCGGAAGGCACCGAACCGGCGTGATCAACAAAACACGGCGGCCAAATCCCGCGCAAGGAAGCTGTATCGAGAGTTGTTAACGAAACCGATGTGTGTGGTTATGGATGACGAAACCTACATCAAGGCAGACGCAAAGCAGATACCGGGGCTGGAGTTCTACGTTGCCAAATCACGGTTTGATGTTCCGGAAGACATAAAGAAGAAGAAAGTGGACAAATTCGCCAAAAAAATACTTGCTCTGACAGGCCATATGCCAATGCGGTAAACTGAATAAACCGTACATCATAATGGGTACCATCAACAGCGAAATTTACCGCACCGATTGCCTCCAGAAGCGTCTGTTGCCCTTCCTGCGGTCCCACGGAGGCGAGACATTATTTTGGCCGGACCTGGCATAATGCCATTACGCGCGATCGACGTTGGATTGGTACAGAGACAATAACGTTGTTTTTGTACCAAAAACCGCCAACCTTCCGAATTCAACAGAAATTCGTCCGGTGGAAAGATTTTGGGCCATAATGAAGGCCAAAGTTCGAAAATCGTCCAAGGTGTTTAAGAACGAGCTGAAGATGAAGAAAGAATGGATGAAAGTGACCAAAAAGGTCGGCTCCACCATTGCACAAAATGTAATGAGGGGTCTTAAGGGAAAGGTGCGGGCTTTCAGCGATGGAAAGGAAATTGAATAAAGTAATTGTGTCGAAACATAATCAAGAAAATCCGACTTAAAATAAATTTTTCGCGAACACTTTTGTCTGGTGCATTTTTTTCGAGTACAGGCCTTACTAGCTTTGGCCTTGACCTGTGCCCAAGTCAAACTTCGGTCAACGTTCTTAATTTCACTGTTTAGGCTCCGCCGCCATGAGCCTCTGAGTCTCTCTCTGCTGCGATGTCCTGCTGGATTCCAGTCCAGTGCTTGCTTGCAGATTTCGTTTCCGCTCCGTCGTAGAGTGTGGCCGACCCACCTCCACTTCCGTTCACGTATTTCTGTCTCTATCGGCTTCTGATGGCACGAACGATGAAGCTC